TTGCCATTTTGACAATGTTAAGTCTCCCAACCCATGAGCAGGGGATATCTTTCCATTTCCTCATGTCCTCTTTTATTTCCTGAAGTAGCGTTTTGTAGTTTTCTTTGTACAGGTCCTTTACTTCCTTAGTTAAGCTGATTCCTAGGTACTTGATTTTCTGGGGCACAATTGTGAATGGGATTGTTTTTTTCATGTTGCTTTCTTCTCTCTCACTGTTTGCGTATAGGAAAGCCATGGACTTTTGGGTATTGATTTTATAACCTGCAACTTTACTATACGAGTCTATTGTTTCTAAGAGTTTTTTGGTGGAAGTTATTGGGTTCTCTAAGTAGAGTATCATATCATCTGCGAATAATGAGAGCTTGATTTCTTCCTTTCCTACCTGAATGCCCTTAATATCTTTTTCCTGCCGAATCGCTATTGCAAGTACTTCCAGTACTATATTGAACAGCAGTGGAGAGAGTGGGCATCCCTGTCTCGTCCCTGATCTTAGAGGGAAGGCTCTCAGTTTTTCCCCATTGAGGATGATGCTTGCTGTAGGCTTGTGGTAGATGGCTTTAATTATGTTGAGGAAGGTCCCCTCTATACCCATTTTGGCTAGGGTTTTCATCATAAAGGGGTGCTGGATCTTATCAAATGCTTTCTCTGCATCTATTGATATGATCATATGCTTTTTATCTTTTCTTTTGTTGATATGGTGGATTATGTTGATTGATTTCCGAATGTTGAACCATCCTTGCATCCCTGGGATGAATCCTACTTGGTCATGGTGTATGATCTTTTTGATGAGTAGTTGGATTCTATTTGCTAGTAGTTTGTTGAGGATCTTTGCATCTGTGTTCATCAGGGATATCGGCCTGTAATTCTCTTTCTTTGTGGTATCTCTGTCTGCTTTTGGTATCAGTGTGATATTTGCTTCGTAGAAACTGTTTGGAAGTGTTTTTGATACTTCAATTTCGTGGAAAAGCTTAAAGAGCATTGGGAGTAAGTCCTCTTTAAAGATTTGGAAGAATTCACTAGTGAATCCATCCGGGCCAGGACTTTTGTGCTTGGGGAGACTTTTTATTACCATTTCAATTTCCTTGATGGTGATAGGTCTGTTCAGGTATTCCAGGTCTTCTTGGTTCAGCCTTGGGAGTCTGTAGGAGTCTAGGAATTTATCCATTTCCTCGAGGTTTTGATGTTCCGTGGCATAAAGCTTCTCAAAGTACTCCCTGAGGATCCTCTGAATTTCTGTGGTTTCTGTTGTAATGACCCCCTTTTCATTTCTGATTCGGTTTATTAGGGTTTTCTCTCTCCCTTTCTTTGTGAGTTTTGCTAGAGGCTTATCGATCTTGTTAATTTTCTCGAAGAACCAGCTCTTGGTTTCATTGATCTTTCGGATTGTTTTTTGGGTTTCTATCTCGTTAATCTCTGCTCTGAGTTTTATTATTTCCTTTCTCCTGTTCGGGTTGTGCTCCTTTTTTTGGTCCTTCTCCAAGCTCTTAAGCTGTGAGGTTAGGTTACTTATGTGTGCTCGCTCCTCCTTCCTGAGGAATGCTTGTAGAGCTATAAACTTTCCTCTTAACACAGCCTTTGCTGTGTCCCATAAGTTTTGGTAACTCGTGTTCTCATTTTCATTCGTTTCTAGGAATCTTTTGATTTCCTCTTTGATTTCCTGTCTAATCCACTCGTTGTTCAATAGTGCACTGTTTAATTTCCAGGTGTTTGATTTAGTTTTCTGTTTTTGTGTGTGATTTACTTCTAATTTCAGCGCATTATGGTCTGAGAAGATTGTTGATACAATCTCTACCTTCTTAATTTTATGGAGGCATGTTTTGTGGCTCAGCATGTGGTCTATCTTGGAGAATGTTCCATGTACGCTTGAGAAGAATGTGTATTCAGCTTTTTGTGGATGAAGTGTCCTGTATATACCTACTAAGTCCCTTTCTTCCATTGTTTCCCTCAAATGAAGTATGTCCTTGCTAAGCTTGAGTCTGGTTGATCTATCAAGAGGTGACAAAGCAGTGTTGAAGTCTCCCACTAGTATTGTGTTGCTATTGATGTCTTTTTCCAAATCTATGAGTAGTTGTTTTAAGTACTTTGCTGGTCTCTCATTAGGTGCATATACATTTATTATTGTAAGTTCTTCCTGTTGTACAGATCCTCTGATCAATAAGTAATGGCCTTCACTGTCTCTTATGACCTTCCTCACTCTGAAATCAATGTGGTCTGATATAAGGATGGCTACCCCAGCTTTTTTATGGGAGCTGTTTGCCTGTAGGATTGTTTTCCAGCCTTTGACTCTGAGTCTGTGTTTGCTTTGACTATTGAGATGCGTTTCTTGCAGGCAGCAGAATGTTGGGTTCAATTTTCTAATCCATCCTGCCACTCTATGTCTTTTAATTGGTGCGTTTAGCCCATTGACATTGAGAGAGATTATTGTTATGGGATTTTGTCCCATTGTTATGTTAAAATTGGGTGTATTTGAGGGGCCTTTCTTGCCTTAAAGTAGCCCATTTAGTTGTTCTTGTAACCATGGTTTTGAGTCTATGAAGTTCCTGAGCTGTTGTTTGTCTGTGAAACTGTGTGTTGTTCCTTCTATTATGAATGAGAGTCTTGCTGGGAAAAGTATTTTGGGGGAGGCATTTATTTCATTGAGTTTTTTTACTATGTCCCACCACTGTTTTCGGGCCATGAGGGTTTCATCAGAAAAATCAGCTGTGAATTTTAAGGATGCTCCTTTGTAAGAGATTTCTTTCTTCGATCTTGCTGCTTTCAGAATTTTGTCTCTGTCTAAGGTTTTGGTCATTTTGATCAGAATGTGTCTTGGGGTATTTTTATTAGGATTTCTTCTAGCTGGTACCCTTCGGGCCTCCTGAATGTGGTCACAAGTTTTCTTCAGCTCTGGAAATGTTGTAGCAATGATGTCTTTGACAGTTTCTTCTTCATCGAGGTTTTCTTCCTGTCCCTCTGGGACTCCAATAATTCTTATGTTACCCCTCTTGGCTTCATCACGATCTTCTCTTGCCATCTGTTCCCGAATTGTGAGTCTCTTTTCCATTTTCTGCTCTTTTCGGGAGAGTCTCTGAACTTCATCTTCGAGCTCACTGATTCTGTTTTCAGCCGCTGTTACTCTGCTGCTGAGGCCTTCCACTGAGCTTTTCAATTCGCCTACGAGATTTTTCAGGTCTGACATTTCTGATTGCATTTTCCTCATTTCTGCCTTCAGATCCTCTTGTCTTCTATTGGCATTGGTTTCCATTGTTTCTTTTAATTCCCTAAGCATCCTAAGTAGCTCCCTTCTGAATTCCTTGTCAGAGAGGTTGTCTAACACTACAGTACTGTTGGTGTCATCTGGGCTAGACTCTTCAATATGAATGTTTGGTGGGCTTTTGCGTTGCTTTACCATTGTGAGAGGTGTGGTTTAGTCCTTCACGTTCAGTGTTACTATTCTGCTTGATATGCAGTGTGAGTTAAGATAGGCTTATGAGTTATTGGCAACTGTATTTCTAGTGGCTGAGCTAAAATAGAGAAGTTTCCATCTAAGAAGTTAGCTTATGGTTCCTATGGCATATGTAGTGGGAAAATATTTCGCGGCCGCGTTAGCGGCCGCGGCTCCGGAAAGAGTCCCTGGCACTGGGCGAGGAGTTGGGAATGTCTCCTGTTTGGAATTGAGTCCCACGCGGCTCAGGGGTTGAAAACCGGCTGTCTCGGGGCTGTTTCTAGCTGCGCGTGCCCAGAGAGGAACCCGGGCCCTTGGGGGCGGGCTGTACCTGTTGGAATTGGAGCCGTTCAGCTTTGTTGCCCAGAGCTGGGCCTCTGTGCCCGTCCCACGCGGCTCAGGGGTTGAAAACCGGCTGTCTCGGGGCTGTTTCTAGCTGCGCGTGCCCAGAGAGGAACCCGGGCCCTTGGGGGCGGGCTGTACCTGTTGGAATTGGAGCCGTTCAGCTTTGTTGCCCAGAGCTGGGCCTCTGTGCCCGTCCCACGCGGCTCAGGGGTTGAAAACCGGCTGTCTCGGGGCTGTTTCTAGCTGCGCGTGCCCAGAGAGGAACCCGGGCCCTTGGGGGCGGGCTGTACCTGTTGGAATTGGAGCCGTTCAGCTTTGTTGCCCAGAGCTGGGCCTCTGTGCCCGTCCCACGCAGCTCAGGGGTTGAAAACCGGCTGTCTCGGGGCTGTTTCTAGCTGCGCGTGCCCAGAGAGGAACCCGGGCCCTTGGGGGCGGGCTGTACCTGTTGGAATTGGAGCCGTTCAGCTTTGTTGCCCAGAGCTGGGCCTCTGTGCCCGTCCCACGCGGCTCAGGGGTTGAAAACCGGCTGTCTCGGGGCTGTTTCTAGCTGCGCGTGCCCAGAGAGGAACCCGGGCCCTTGGGGGCGGGCTGTACCTGTTGGAATTGGAGCCGTTCAGCTTTGTTGCCCAGAGCTGGGCCTCTGTGCCCGTCCCACGCAGCTCAGGGGTTGAAAACCGGCTGTCTCGGGGCTGTTTCTAGCTGCGCGTGCCCAGAGAGGAACCCGGGCCCTTGGGGGCGGGCTGTACCTGTTGGAATTGGAGCCGTTCAGCTTTGTTGCCCAGAGCTGGGCCTCTGTGCCCGTCCCACGCGGCTCAGGGGTTGAAAACCGGCTGTCTCGGGGCTGTTTCTAGCTGCGCGTGCCCAGAGAGGAACCCGGGCCCTTGGGGGCGGGCTGTACCTGTTGGAATTGGGGCCGTTCAGCTTTGTTGCCCAGAGCTGGGCCTCTGTGCCCGTCCCACGCGGCTCAGGGGTTGAAAACCGGCTGTCTCGGGGCTGTTTCTAGCTGCGCGTGCCCAGAGAGGAACCCGGGCCCTTGGGGGCGGGCTGTACCTGTTGGAATTGGGGCCGTTCAGCTTTGTTGCCCAGAGCTGGGCCTCTGTGCCCGTCCCACGCGGCTCAGGGGTTGAAAACCGGCTGTCTCGGGGCTGTTTCTAGCTGCGCGTGCCCAGAGAGGAACCCGGGCCCTTGGGGGCGGGCTGTACCTGTTGGAATTCTTTGTTTTTCTTTTAACTAAGAGTCGACAACTTTATTTCCATGTTTCACAATACAAATGAAAATTGTTTTTTTGTTCCATTTACTACCCCCTCCAAAACTATCCTCTCTCTGATGGGAAGCGGGGGCAAGTCTCCCTCTAATGCCGCTGGAGAATACCCAGAGTCACAGCACCACGATCTCCTGGTGAAGAAGAACAAGTGACAGGAAGTGGAGAGAGAGAAAAAGAGAGAGAGAGATTGGCTCCCACTCTCCTTATCTGTCTGGTCGAGTCATTCCAGGCCGGGTGGGCACCATCATGGGACGGGCAGGGGGTCTCATCATTGGAGGCCCAGGCATCATGGGCATATGGCCTCCCATTGGCGGCCTCATTCCAGGAGCAGGTCCCACTGGCATCATCCCAGGAGGAGGGGGGCCCATCATTGGCATCATGGAAGGGCCCCCCATATGGGGTGCTGGCATCATCCCAGGGCGAGGAGGACCAGGGAGACTGGGCGGAGGTGGGATCATTGCCCCTACCGGAGGAGGAGCAGAAAATGGAGTCGGAGGAATCTTGCCTTGTTGAAATGCAGCAGTTGTCTTGTCGATCAGGCTCTGGGCCTGCTCCTCCATCCATTTTTGATAGTAGTCCTTCACATTCTCTTTGTGTTTCCTGTCACTGCAGTGAGTCTTTCTCACAGATGGAGAGTCATGGGTGAGGTACGTGTCGCAGTAGTCACAGTAAAACTTGGGCATGATGCTCTGCAGGCCGTTGAACCAGTTTTGTTTTGTTTTAAGGAAGAATTCTAACCTATCTTGTTTCCTTTACTCATCAAACTGATGGCCATGTTCATAGAACTTGGCAACCTATTGGTAGCTGATCTTTCCATTAAAACAGGAAACGAAGAGTCTGGAGAGATAGCACAGCAGTTAAGGCACTTGCCTTGCATATGGCTAACCCAGGTTCAGTCCCCGGCACCCCAGACGGTCTCCCAAACACAATGATCCTTGAGCCAAGACTAAACCCTGAGCACGATAGGCTGTGTCCCCAAAACAAAACCAAAACAATCAGACACCCAAAAAACCCAAAAAACAAAATGAAGGTTCTGTTCTCCCACCATAGCGGCGGCCAGGTGTGGCTGCCACAATAACCACGAGCAAACCAACAAAATAGGAAATGATGTTTTATTTATCGTAAACAAATGGAAAGTCCAGGATGTTCGAATTCGGTTTGAAATGCATTGTTCTAATGAGACTTAAAACTGAAATAACTATTTTTAAGTCTACTTTCCTATGCCCTCCTTCACTTTGAGAGCTTCTTGACAGCACACTGCCCTTTCATGAAGGAGGGGGAAAAGCGAGGTAGTGAACCCGCAAGGGAATACTCAAGTTCAACTGAGTCTTGTCAATTAACTCTTTAAGACCCTAAAAGTAGGCTAAGAACAGATTGTTCCGGCCCATCATAAAACCTTGTTGGAAACTTTATGCCACCTAGAGGTCATTGAACTGAACTGCAAAAACAAGGGAAAAAAAAATCCTAGAGGATGAGAAGGCCCAGGCTTTTTCTACTATCAGGAACTGACAATATATCAGAATCTTAGGAGAGAAAAAGTGATCCTCATAAAAACAAGCAGTTATCAACTTCACGAACATAAATTATGCCAATAGGAATACCAGGTTGTTGCAAGAATATCCCCATGAAGCTAACGTTGGCAATTTCTTTGCTTTTTGGGGGGGACAGGAAGAGGGTTGGGAGAGGTGCCCACACCCGGCAATGCTCAGAGGTTACTCCTGGCTCTGCACTCAAGGATCACTTCTGACAGTGCTCAGAGAACGTTTGGGATGCTAGGGGTTGAACCCAGGTCAGCTACATGCAAGGCAATCTCTACCTGCTGTACTATTATTCCATTGGCAATTTTGGTACCACCTAGATTTGAAAGAAGCATATTCAACAGCTGCACCAAGAGAGGCACCATTCAAATTCTCTCATGGTACCTCTTGGAATAGAAAGGTGTGAGAGGAAGCCTGAAACAAAGTGTTGGGATCCAGCCTTTCTGCAGTGGCGGTATCCTACTCCATCATTTTCTAGAGCCTAGAGCTTAATCTCCCAGCCCATTCTTGATGTATTTATGCAGGACCAGAAGGACTCGGAAGTTGCAAATTTAATCCTTCTCCCAGGATTTTGTGCTCTTTGTAAAAATATTTTTTTTTAGCATTTAAGGAACAGATCAAAAGCCTTCCATCTGTGATATTTCAGAGAGGGAAAAGATGGGGGAAAAATGAGAGGTCTATTTTTCTTCTGAGAGCTACTTTAATTCATTTGTGCCAGTATCACAATTTGTGCTAATTAATCCACACTCAAATGGCTGCCACCAGTGATAAATGCCAATGTGTTAAAAGAATGGTGTGTGTGTGTGTGTGTGTGTGTGTGTGTGTGTGTGTGTGTGTGATTCAAACATTGCCTCTCTGTGAGGGTGTTCTGGTCCACTTAGCTATCAGTCTTGGCTAAGGTTGCTGTTAACTTAAACCCTCCTTCACTTTACCATAGGTAACTTCTCTTTAGAACACAGTCAGAATGGTTAGTCTTGGCCAAGAAACACTAAGATGCTTCTTGGTATCTAATAGACTTTCTGAAGGAGTTTCAGTAACAACTGGCTTCTTCGTACCCTGGGTTTTAGAACCTGCAGCCAACATAGCTATTCTGAAGGAAATCTCACCAATCCACAGTTAACAAATTGACCCCTGGACCGGTCTGCAGAGACCAGGAAATTCTGAGGATGCCACCTAAGCCTTTTCTTTTCGACCACCTTCAAGTGATCAGAATATTCCTGAAAGAGCTGGACACATATGTCTGGAGTCTTAGCTTTTCTGGCTGCTGTCCAAGAGATGGATCATCTGACATTTAGAGTCCACAAGACTTCAATTCGTGAGTCCTCACAGCTTTGTAGCAAACAGAGAGGTAGTTCATCTTCCTTTGTGTTTTTGCAGGGTGGGGAGACACCCAGCAGCACTCAAGGGCTACTTCCAGTGCTCTCCTTATGAGTTTCTCTCAGTAGCACCAGGGATTGAATCTGGACCACCCACACATGAAGCATGTTTTGTATGCACTCAAACTTTTGAACACTCTCTTTGTCCCTAAAAAGCATTTCTCAATGGGGACAGCAACCCTCCAGTGACTCTCTCCATGCAAAACTTTATACCTGAAGCAAGCCGAAAGAAAGCAAGAAAAATTAAAATGTTGTATCTCAATTTCTACCTGGAAAGGGCCTCACTACTATTTTTTGAAAGCCTCTGTTCCGGTCAACCTGCCTCTAGATGCTGCCTGTGATTCTCCTCTGTGGAACACTGATTCCTCTTGGCACACCCCCAACTAGTGAGAGGCACCAAGGACAAAGAATGCAGCTTGGACCATCACAATGTTTGAGAGACAATCAAGGGACTGAACTAACAGGCTCATCTTCTGAACAAAACTGCTCTGTCAGAAACAGGAGAGCTGGCAATCATATCTAATGCAGAGAAATCAACAGAGGGTGAAGGTAATAAAAGAAACAAAGCGATGTTCCAAGTGAAAGAATAAGCTAAAACTCCAGAAATAGTCCATAAAAAAAAATCAGACCAAAGTGATACACTCGATACAGTTCAGAATAGCTGTAAAGGCACTCACCAAGGTCAAGAGGCCAGCATATGAACAACATGAGAATTTCAACAAAAAGATGAGAATTATTTTAACTTGTCAAACAAAAGTCACAGAGCTAAAGAATGCAAGAGCTGAAGTGGAAAAAATCAAAAGCAGGTTTGATAGAGCAGAAGGAAAGATCAGCAAACTTGAAGACAGAGCCAAATAATCCAGTCAATCAAGGGAGTAAAAAAAAAAAAAACAAAAAATAATTAAAGAGTACGAAGAGTTTAATAGAATAATGGGATGCCTTCAAGTAGAATAATGTGTGCATTACAAGGGTTTCAGAAGGAGTAGATTAAGAAGCAAAGACTATTCAATGGCACAATGGCTGAAAACTTCCTAACCAGACGAATAAATCGCCCTCCTGATCTAGAAAACCCATATGGTCCCAACATGATAAATCAAGGGCCCACACTGAGACACATTATTATCTAATTATCACAAGTTAATGAAAGGAGAGTTTGTTAAGTGTATTTTTGGAATTGAATTTTAGGTTATGAATTTTAGGATATGATATGTAAAAATTATGGATACTGCACCTTAACCAACACCGACCCTCTACCACTGTCCTTGTTTCACTTCTAGTCTACATCTTTCTCTCCCACCCCCAAGCTCCTTCCCAATCCTTCTCAATAACCTCAGGTTTACATAAAAAATTTAAAAGTTTCTCATGATTCAATGCTGCTTATTTCCCATTTTGTTTTCCTACATACCACAGATGAGTGAAATCATTCGATATTTGTCCTTCTCCCTCTGATTTACTTAACATGCCCGAGTTCTTCCAGTTCTATCTAAGTTGCAATGAATTGCAATATTTCATCATTTTCTATAGCTGCATAGCATTCTATTGTATATATATATATATATATATATATATATATATATATATATGGCATAATTCTTTACCTACTTTCCTGTCATGAAACATTTGAATAATTTCCATATTCTGCCTCTTGCACTTAGCCCTATAATGATCATAGGTGTGCATATATCTTGTTGGGTAAATGTTTTTGTGTTCTTGGGTACATGGCAAGAAGTAAAATCACCATGCTGATGTATGCCATGCTCACTGGTATAATATAATAGTTGTGGGCCAGAACAATAGTACAGCAGGCAGGGCATTTGCCTTTAGGTAGCAGACCCAGGTTCAATACCCAGCATTCCATATTCCATATTCCAATACTCTTGAGCAATGCCAGGAGTAATTCCTTAGTTCCAGGTGTGACCAAAAAGCATATATATTATATATATAATAGTTTTTAATTTCCCTGTTACAAATGATGAACACTTTTTCGCATGACTACTGGCCCATCCTGAAGGTCTTCTTCAGGGAAGCGTCTGTTGATTTTATCTCCCCATTTTTGATAGAGTTATTGGATTTTTGTTGTTGAGTTTTGTCCTTTGTATATCTTAGATTTCTTGTATATCTTGCCCTTTACAGGTATGGCTATCAAATATTTTTCTGAGGAGATATTTGTAAAAGCAGCAAAAGTTTACCTTGCTGTATACAAGAGATATAATAACACTATCAAAAATTGTTTTCAACAGGAGCCCAGAAGGGAGCATCAAGATATTGTTCAAATGCTGGGGGGGAATGCTGCTAACCAAGAATGCTCTATAATGCAAAACTATTCAATAAAACTGAAGAAGGAAGATAATTTTTCAAATAAACAAAAGCTGAATTTCACTACCCCTAAATCTTTTTACAAGAAGTGTTAAAGGGAGCTCTTCAGGTTGAAATGAAAGATTCTCTTAGAGAGAGGGAAGCTTACAAAAGTGAAAAATAAAAAGCTCAGCAATAAAGTTGAATATATAAAGTTAAATTAAGCATACCCTAAAGTTATGATGGTGGTGAGTTAATCATTTCTAATCTAGTATGAAGTTTAAAAGTATTAAGAATCACCAGAGCAACAATAATCTGTTAATGAACGCCCAATGTAAAACGTGTAAATTGGAACATCAAGCCCTAAGGCATGGTACAGAGGAGGAAGGTATATAAATGTGAATATATATATATATATATAATAGTAAGTTGTTATTAGTTTAAATGGTCTGTTATATCTTATTTTAAAACTAAATATAAGGGAAAGGAG